TATTTTAGCATAAATCTCTTGGTTAGGGAATGCGAAATACTGAAAGATATCTAATGCTGTTTTTTCATAGAAAAAAAATTTTTTTATTATAAAATATTCATATAGGTAGATGGAGTCTCATTCTATAATACATCATGTAGCTGGCTTCTCATACCATCCACATCACTATTTGAATCAGAACCATACCTCGAAATATGAAAAAAATATACTGAAAAAGAAATGTGAAAAAAATAGTGAAAAACTAATTTCACCTAAACTTTTGTTCTGGACTGTATGTTATGCAAATTTTCATTCTCTACAAAATCTCGAAAGAACAATTTTGTAGAGAATGAAAAGCTGTATAACATATGTAAAATTCAACTTGGAATCCTTTGATTCTGAAGCACAGCAGTACATTCAATGCTAACAAGTGAACGTTGTGAACTGACTAGTACAAGCTCTTATTTTGACTCATGTTATCTATATAAAATTTGAGTTGTTAGATATTGTATACTATTCAAATAGCTCATTTTGTTTAGTTTTTAATTAGCTAGCTTTTGGTATGTTCTATAAAAGATTTGAATGATCTATTGAAACATAATAGCCTGTCCAGCTAAAAAGGATCATGCTTGGCCAAACTTGAGCAGAAGATTTCTCGAGTTTATTCATTCAAAATCTTTTTTTTTATAGGTTTTCGCATATTCTCTGTTGATAGATGTCATTTGTTTTGAACAATAATGAAAAGAAATGATGGTCGTCAGCCAAAATTAAGCATTTTTTGTGCAAAAATGATGAGAAAAGAGTCCTATTGTCTATTATCATATTTCGTATATTACTTTATTATTTAAAAAAATAGAAACAATAGTCGTATTATCGAAGATTGAGCTGCAGTTTGACATCAATCGATCATCTTCTATTGTTATCAAAGTTATAAAAAAAAATTGATACCATGAATTTCTATCCTGCTAGAATCGTTACTTTCACCTTAAGTTATCGAATTATAATAATCAACAGGTCAAAAATGGATCAATCCATTACTTTTATAGGGTATTTTTGTTACTTATTTCTCATAAAAGTATTTGGCTAACTTTTCGAACTAAAGATATTAGAAGTTAAAATTTTCAGATTGATAGTTCGAATACGAAAAAAATAAAAATAAAAAAAATTTTGTTTTTGTCAAGTATCTCCTATACTTAATGGTCTCATGGTTTTTTCTTTTTCTATCCTTTATATTTGTACCTATATGGTTGAATAGAATAAAATATTATCCAAGAAGTAAAATCTTTTGATTTATAATGATGATGTGTAAAAAACCATTGTCGATCAATCCAAAATGATGATTTAAATTTATCAATTAATAAATGATATCGATGATAATTAATAATATTTTCATCATTAATTATTTGATGTCGAAAATTAAATTTACGTAAATTTAACATATGACATAATATTAATTGTTCCCAACGATCAGCATTTAAAAATTCAATATCACGTTGAGTAGAAAGATGTAATAATTTAAGTTGATGTGAAAAATATATAATAAACCATTCAAATTCATCAAATGATGTATCTTCTAATTTAAGATAGAGATTAATTAAATTCATTGATATAATAGACATAGTAATTTGTTTACTATTTAATGTTGATATTTCACATGATAAACAATGAAGATTTGGTGTATAAATAAGAAAATTATTTAATTGATCAAGATTATATTTTGTATTAATAATAAGATGTTCAATAGAACTATATTCATTATTATTCAATGATAAATTAATATGTTGATTCCATAATTCAAATGATAATTTACAATATTTCAATACAGGTAGACGAATAATTAAACAAAAAACATCATTTGAAGATTGTATTTTTTCAATACTAGTTATAGTAAGAGAATAGAGACGTGGTAATAAAGCTAAAGTAGTAAGAATAGGAATTAAATTATCAGATTTAATATTCTGTAAAATTAAAATTTCAAGACGAATAAACGATGAATCTAAACAAAATGATGTAAAGAAATCATCAATAATAAGATGATGTGAAAATTGAAGAGATATAATACGATGTACATTTGGCATTAAAATAGTATTGCATCGATGTTGAAAACTTGTCTTAGATAGACAAGAGAAATTAAGTCTAAGTGGTAAAGATGAATGAATAATAAGATGATTAAAACGACTATTAAGATTAGAAAATATTTCATAAATATCATAACTATCAAAAAAATCAAATAATTCATAAAAAATTTCATTGGAAAGATCTTCAAAACATGTAATCATTGATCTTTTAAATAGAAGATTAAAAGTTAAAAGTAAATAATTTTAGAACAATATTTAAAGAAATATTCTTTACGTACTTCATCTGTTTAATTACAGATTCTAAAGAAAAAAAAAAAAAGAATATTAATGATTATGAAAAAAAAAAAATTTTCCTCTTTACTTGATGATTTTTTTGGTTGTGTGATGTTAATATTAAGTTGTTTCTTAACCGCATCCATTAAACAGAAAGAAAACTGAGTCGTTATGACATAAATCGAGAACAGAATTAAATGTAAAATGTCTTTTTTATACGTAGCATTTCGTTTCTCTTATCAAAACATCACAGAGAAATGTGAGTAGAAACAAAACATGTTTGTCATTGAAACATTTTTTATTACGCAGCCATTTTCTTTCACATTATAATGCATAAAATGTATGAGTTGATTGAATAATCAGGTACTTTCGATTGCCTGAATTTTTGTTACATGAGAATATTTATCAGAATAGCCTTGACAAAATTTTGAATTCAAAAAATCTATTAATACATCTAATGTAATCAACTCATCGAAGATAATGTATCAAATTAATGTGTACTCATTGTTATAAATTCTTTCATTTCATTTATATGATTAAAATTAGTTCTTCTCATCACTTATACTCAAATACCTACGGTTCTCCACGGATATCTACAGACCCTAATGGCATCCATGGTTGTATTGATTTTAATTGTAAAACATCTTGCATAATTAAAAATCAAAGTATCTATGGGTGTGCGTGTCCATATAAGAAGCTATATTTCAGTTGAAAACAAAAATCTTTTTTTTTTTTTGAAGTCTTGGTGATGTACGTGTTTGTTTGTAGTTTTTAGAGCTATCCATACAAGTGTATTTATTTAAATGTGAAGCAAACAGACGAGCACTGTTGTCGCTAAAATACAAAGTTTTGAAATGAAGAACGTTACTTTTATATCATTGGAATAGTTTTTCATTACTGAAAACTATGAAAAATTGCAAAGTTTTATGTACTTATATCTGAACGATACTATAAAAATAATGATACATCTGCTATTAGTATTGTTATATGCATTGTCTCTGTTTTTGCACAAGAATGTTGCTTTAGAAGATAAAACCAATTTGTAGAATGAGAAAAAAATCTTCAATCAGTTCCAGTAAATAACAAATGTATCGGTTCCACTTTGTTATCACAATTATTAATATTTTGCAAAAACATACTAGATGAATGATGTCCAAAGTTTGATTTAATGTTCAGAAACTATCCAATCAGTTCAGACAGTGTCGAATATTTACATAATTGTCCAAGGATTTCTTGAAGTATATAGACAATCATGAACACATCATAAGATTCGTGGCTCAGTTTATGTTCGGATATTTTTGAATATCATTAACTTTGTTTTGTTTTAGGATACTTCTTTTATTTCATTTCATGTAAATCTACCCATAGACAATCTTGAAATCTTTTCTTTTCGATTGTCTGTAGAAAGGTCGAAAATTAGTAAAGATTTTTTTTTTTTATGAATTAATAAATCAAAATAGCTGGCGATTTTAGTTGAATTTCTCCTGTTGAAGATGTGGCAGCTGCAGCCATAACAGTAAGGCTTTACTTATATAATTACTTTTTCACTTAATCTATATCAAATATTAATCATCACTATAACTAGTAGCGAGAAATCTAGATTAGTAGAAATTATAGAAAAAGAAAACATGAATTATTCGTGTTACAAATTACCATTTGCTGGAGATATTACTATTTCATTTATTTCTAATTTTGATACTTTCTCATGTTAAAACTTTTTTTTCGACTGCACACATTCGTTTCTTAATTAAATGAAAAATTGCATTCAAAATCGAACTCAAATCTAAAAATTTCTAGATTCAATGTATATCAAAATATCAAAATAGAAAAATAACACATTCATATTCACACTCTACGAAATATTGATAATGAAATGATAGACATAATTAATAAATTACTAACACAAAACAAAAAAAAATTGTATTTCAATCTTTTTAATCATTCTTGATATAATTCAATTACATAGATTCATTATCACTTAATTTACTTTTGATTTGTCGTTGTTGATTTACTGACATAGGAATATTCAATTCGGATTTATCATTTTGAGTTAATCGAGTATATGTAAAATCTATTGATTTATTTAAATTTGATTGATAAACAAATATTGCCATAATAAATAAAAGAAATGCAATAATAGTTTCACCTGCAATAGTTATATTACATAAAAATGAAAAATTTGTTGGTGGTTCATAAAGATAATGACCACCACTAATCATTGACATTAAACTATATAATGTTACAATAATTAACATATGAAAAGATTGTATTTGTTCATTTGTACAAGATAATAATAATTTCCAAGTTGAAATAAGAAATAAAATTGATAAAGGAAAATTAAATAGAAATGTTTTTTCCATTTCACTAAAAAAAATTTTTAAATAAAGTTTTTTTGGTTCAAAATACATAGCTGGATCATAAATATTATGAACATAATGTGAAACATGAAAAATTATATTTAAAAATAATATTAATGGTATTATTATTCGATGAAATATATTATGTTTTAATATTAATTTATATTTATTATAAATTAATATTAAATTAATTAATGTACCAATTCCAATAATTATACATATAATTATCATTATAATTCGAATTAATGGAAGATGTTTCAATGATTCTGATATAAGTACATCTTCATTACGAAAAGTACTTCGTCGAAATATTGGTTCAGAATTCATTAATATTGATTAAAGAATTTATAATTATATATCTCAAAACAAAACAAAAAAAAACAAGATTCAATAATCAATATTTATTATAAATAGAGTTCTGCATCGAAATGATTGTAGTCAAATCTGAAGTTACATCAATAAAATAGTTAAATAATGAACAAAGAAAAAAATATGCTACTTTATAGATTTAAAAGTTTCAAGAAAAAAAAAACATTCTTATTAACAAGTATGTCAAAAAGAATTTTGGAAATTTCTCGGAATTACAAATTTTGAATGCGTAGGATTCTAATCATAACATTATATTGTTCTTCGAAATATAGAAAATGACACAACTATCTCATTTTAAATCAAAAAGTGTTGTATAGTAAGCGAAATTCCGAGAAAGTTATATTTCGTACGTGTAATCTGATTCTAAAGTCGAATGCACATAGTGAAGTGACATCTAGATTTGATGAAATGTCAGAAAAAGAAATTGTAATAGAAATGTATTAAAACAGACGGTATATTCAACTTTAGTTTTTATTTTTAGGAAAGATAAGTTTCATGCGACGGATGGCGCTACACTATTGTGATTTTTATTTGAGAAGAAGGCAAATCCGAGATGTCACTAAAAGCAACTTCCTAATTTTATTTGATCAGAAGAATTTAATGTAATAAATAATCCATATCAGTGATACATTCAATATGCTGTTAAAAGGTGTTTTTCATAATAGGTTGCATCAAAAATGCATTAATGTATTTGCCGTTCGATATTGATATGATGATCCATCATTTACCTAAACTTTACGAAGATACAATTGTTTTTTTGTCACTAGACGTCGTAGTTATTCGTTTAAAGTTTACTTCTATGTACTTGACAAAAACTTGTCAGTACAATCCTATGACGCACCAATGTGTAGAACTCACAAACTCTGACTCCCATAAATTTATGGTATACTGTGAGAGGAGTTTAAATAGTTTATTTAAAAAAATGCCAAATAAGTGAATAAATTAAAGTGATAACAATTGTTTTAATTGATACACTCGCTTTCAAAATTTTACTATTTCAAAAATGTTTACATTTAGAATTACTATTCTAGCAATTTATTTCATTCATTTAACTTCGTTATAATGAAAAAACTTCTTTGTATTATTAGAGACATCTTCAACGCTTAATTTCTTTTCTCCTAATGATAATATATACGACACATACGTGGCAAATACCATTTTATTGTTTGTTTCGTTGATTCAATCACCATATATACATACTGATTTAATCGTTCAGTAAGCTTTCGAGCACACCATTCTTTCTCTCGACGAACTTTGATATATACTGTTGCGTTTTGTCTAAATTTAGATTTCAATTAGCTCATACTCTTCTATGTTCGTCCTATTGTGACTCTGCTAGGTCAATAATATCACGATAGTACTGATTGACACCTGCGCATTAAATAGCACAACTCGCAATATATAGACTAGCTAGAATCTACAGTAGAAATCTTTGATTCATAGAATTTTTAGAAAGCTTCAGAATAATCTAAATGCTGTTATTATTGACTCTGCTTTTTCCGTTGCTACGAAAATGTATCCAATGTTCGTTAGCCTCATTCCGTCGATCCTCTCGGTTGCTAGGACCTGAGAGAGAGGAGTGCCAAAAATCTTGATTTAAACTTCCATTCAGTATACTTTCCTCGAAAATCTATGTGAGTTCTACAAAAAAGAAACAAGTCTACGAAGAAAGATTTTTCTTTCTGTGATAATGTTAACATCATGAATTTCATTTATTGAATAATTTTATTAAAAATAATATTTATTTTAAAATAATTTACAAAATAAAAGATGATCATTCAAAAATGACCATCATTCTTTGATCGTCCCAAACCATCTAATGAAACTTTTCTTTCATCTAAATCATCAAACCATTGATCTATACCACCCATTAGAATTTTTACAATATACTTTAATAAATCAAAAAAAAAGAAATTCATAATAATTTAAATCAATAATTCTAACTTACATCACCAAAACTAAATGGAAAATCATTTCCTTGACATTTTAAAATTTGTTGTTTTTCATTTCGATAATCATCAACAACATCTAAATTTGGAATTTCTTTATCCCAATCATTTAAATAATCCATAGATTGATCATCATCTAATATATATATACATAATTCTAATCACTATATATATATCTTTTTCTTTTATTACCTGTACAAGCAATAATTGTTACAGGTATTCGATTTGTTGGATTACGTTCATATTGTAAAACTTTTTTACATGATAAAATATCTGGATGACCATCATCATCAGTTGGTACTCCATCAGTTGCTATAAGAATGAGTAAATTACGTTCTTGAATTTCACGTTGTTTAGTACGAAGAATTTCACGAAGAACACGTGTTATTGGAGTAAAACATAAAATGATTCAAAAAAAAAAAAAACAAAGTCAAACAATCTAATGTAAGATGAATTCTATTGTATAAAATACCTTCTGGTGGTACAGCAAAAATCGGTATTAATTCTGATGAATTTCTTACATGAAAAATTGGATCACGATTAAGAAAATAAATATCAACACCATTTGGATCGAGAGAACTTGCTAGATCAACAACTATTGAAACTGTTTGTTTAAGTTCATCCCCTATGAAAAGTGAAAAATTAATAAAACACATATGAAAATAAAATAAAGGTTTATCTTACAACGAGTAGGTGCATTATTAAAAGGACCAAAAACATCACCTAAATATATTCTAGAATTATTAACAGAAAAAGAAAACACATGACAAAAAAAAAACTATTTTACCAAGTGGAGTATTCATTGATCCTGAATCATCACAAACAAATACAATTTCATAACCATCTAATTGAAGTAATTTATTAGCAAAAGTTTTATTAACTATCAAAAAATAAAAAAATAAAAGTTCTATTCGAATCAAAAAAAAACAAAGATTTACTTTCATAACGACGAACAAATTTCTCAAAATCAGGCATACGTTGTTCCTTTGGTATAAAAGAATTTCGATTTGCATTTTGTTTATTACTGGTATCTGATGATTTTCTTGGATACATTCTTCCAATATAATGACAAAAGAATAAATGAAAAAAAAGAAGCAATTGTATTGCACAATTTATCAAGGAAGTACAAAAATAAATAGTTGGAAAAAAAGAAACCGACGTACTGTCATACATCAGATTTTTTTCATGGATTGGTAATAAATTAATCACAGAACAGAGAAAAGCTTTTAGTGTGCTTCTACACCATAAGCAAACATTCATCCTTTGCTATGTGTAGGTGTGTGATTGATTTATTGGTGTGCGCATGTTTTGTGTAGAAGAACTAATGTTTGTTAATTCTTTGGCACAAAAAAAAAGTTTTTTTTTTGTTTTTAATTAAATACAGAATTACTATATGAATATAATATGTTTCTAATTTTTGAGATATCTTCACAACATATCATATAATTATTATCTATCTTGATTAGAACAAATATTGTTCTGTTAAAAGCATGCTTTTCTCATGAATAAATATGTATTTGTTGTATTTACACGGATGAAATAAGCTACATACACAGAATCACCATTTTATAAAATGCATTTAATCTTCTTCGTAGAGAATAAATAAAAGGAGAGCGTCCGATGACAATCGATTGTCGAGATTTTTATGTAATTTCTTTGAATGACACCTAATACAGAAGAGAGCTGTCGATCTGATCCGTTGCCTGGCTAAATCTCTTCGCATAATCTTCAGTCTGGTTCATACTTGGAACCGGTCAGTTGAAATTCTTGATTTAACTGACGAGAACCTGATGCGTTTAATATATCAATTAAGCAATGAGATCTTTCGAGAAATAGTCTATTACTTCAGTTCTACGAAGACATACAATGTAAAATTTATATAACTCTTGTTTTAGTCTATCACAAACGAACGAAGATTTCTTTCAAAACATTTCGTCTACTGTAGTAACTCACAGCAACTAATATTGAACAACATTCATATTGTGGTTTGGTTGACTTTTTGTTTTTTTTATAACGATATAATTTCTTCACAATTGATAAGTTGGATCTATTCTTATTTGAAATAATTATTTAATACAATTCAAAGATATCTAAATGCATAAAAGAATACTATTGCCGAAAGAAAAATAAGATGAACTAAAACATATGGTTTTTATATTAGACTCAATACTACCACCTTTTGAAGTTCGAAAAGCAGAAAGTATGTTTATAATATGAAACTAACGGGTTAGCTCGTAATAAACGAGGGGTCTCAGTATTTTTTTAACATCTTAAGCGTTATCTTATCGCTCACGTTCTATTTTTTTTTATCAAAAGATTCACCGTCTGCTTCTGCAAAAATTGTATATTTCGTTGTAAAAATATTTATTTCTTTTTCTTTCGACATCATCACGATTTAAAAACAGCACCACACACAATTTTCAAAAGCGTTATTTTTTTCAATTTTTTCCGAAAACATCCAGTTCTTAGGATTAGTCTTATTATTATTAGTCGTGCCATATTCTTTATCTAGAAATAAAATAAATTGCCTTTGGTACGTTGATTGAAATGAATCAATTTATCTCTTGAATGACGAACAAATTATACCCAAAGTAACAGAATTAATTGAGAAACTGAACATTTTAGAAAAAAATGAAGACTTTGAAAGTTGTGTGTAATGTTTGTTTTAAAACATGATGATGTTGAAAGAGAGATAAGTGTTTTTTTACAGCGAAATATACCAATTTCTGCAGAGTCAGCTGGTGAATCTTTCGATAAAAAATAAAGAGTGAGCGATAAGATAACGTTTAAGATGTTAATAAAATACTGAGACCCCTCGTTTATTACGAGTTATCTGTTAGTTTTAAATTTTAGTTTCAGTATACTAACCATTCGCATTGTATGACATCACAAAACACAACTAATTAACAAATAGACAGAATCATTGAACATATTTTCTTTTTAAGGAGTATTCTTCATCTGATTTCAGAGCTTTTGACAATTTGTTTTTTATCTAATAAATATTTATCCATTACAGTATATGATAAGGAGAAATTCAAAATAATTGTTGATTAAATTATAGCATTTAAAATTTCATAGGATTATCAATATTAGCTTTTTATTAGCAATGTTCGGAAAATTGTTGATGACGAACGATAAATATTAGTTGAAATGGATCAAATTTATATTCTTTTAAAGATCATTAATATTCGTCGACTTTGAAACATTCTCTGTTGAAGATAATTCTATTCAATTTCTGTTTCCTGGTTTAACTCCTGATGACATAATTATTACTTCAGCAACTACCACTGCTTTATGAATACCATCTTCACTAGTCGAGCTGTCATTATCATCTAGAAATGTTTTTTTTGTTTCTTTTCTCTCACTAATCATATTAATTATTCAAGTTCATTGAGTAAACAAACGAAAGAATGTATATGAATTATATGAGTAATTAAAACACGATAGAAAACCATTGACTTAAAGCCAAATATATAGGTTGGTAGTTGTTTGTAGTCAGTAGAAAATAAAAATAATCTGTATCAAATAGAAAGAATTAGAATGGCGCAAAAAATATCAGTAGTTTTTGATACAATTTTTTAAATAATTATGGAAATGAAGGTATTTCAGGTGAAAAATGTTGATTGAAATAATAAATAACGCCGTATCAAAAAAAGCAGAAGAGGTGGTAGATCTGATGAGACTTCCTAATTTAAAGCTTCTTAACATCTAAATATTTTCACAATTATATGATGCTAGCATTAGACAAGATTTTGACAACAGAACGGAATCTTCTCTGATGTATTGTAATGAAATCAGGAACTGAAAACTACTAGCTATTGAGATCTTATAAGAGTTGATCAAAAGTAGTCCAGGAAATTGTGATCGAAATTTCAATGTAAAAAGTCAGTCTTAAATTTAGACCGATATTAACTTCTAATACTTAGCTTAACTTTTCATGAGCACTATAAATTCATTTAGTATGATCGGAGACTTTCATCCTATGAATATCTCTTGATCATTAAAACCATGGAAGTTGTTAAAAACCAGCGAAATACGCCACCTTTGGTGTCTCAAAAAAAAAACGATGAAAACTAGCCGATTTTAAAAGCTTCAATCGGATCTGATCGGTTCGTTTCTAAATGTGATCTGATTGACATGTCAGACCAGACTAAATTTGTTGGCCTGGCTCTTATGTTTTCTAAATTAAATGTTGATACATTATCTTACTATTCGAGAGTATTTTAACAAATTCATTTGAACCCAGGAACAAATGCTTGAATCGAACGGTAACTTAGTGTCATAGGAGAACTTATTTAGATGGTAAATTTTGCGCTCATGTGCATTTTCTTTTACTTATTTTTTTGTCAGCCTAATCAAATGTTGTTTTATCATATATTTACGGCATAATGTAATATGACTTAATTGATATTATAGTTTTAATATATATGAGTAATACAATAAAACGTAGTACAATTCTGGTTGAAATCTTTTTTTATTGATAATCTATTTCAATCATTGCAAAAAAAAGTATATAGTTCGTGTTTGTGTATGGAAAATAAAAATTATATTATCTGTTTGTTGATTTACTCTTACTTTATTAAAGTTGAAATAAATAAACATTCGCCATTAGAATGTAAAGATAAATAAGTTATTTATTTTTCAGACAACCGTTGTTGTTTTTTTTATTACTTTCATTCTTTATTTTAAACAAACAATAATAAGTTATTGCTCCTATAAAATATTAATTGAAAGTTTTAAGTTGAAGTTTTCAGGGTCTCTATTTCTATTACAGACTTTAGCTACCGAGAACTACATACATCAGACTCTTTTCCTAGAGTTCCTTAGCAACGCAAAAAAGCGCTGAACGCTATTCACAAGACTTAGACGATTCTAGAACACTCCAAAGCCTTCCTCGACATTTCAATGCCTGAAATACGTTTGCGAATGTTCTATATAATGCAGTTTTTGATTTTTGCATAGACAAAAATTTATATTTAAGATGATAATGATGATGAGTAATGCTGCAATGATTTGCTACAGTAGTCATACAGTCAACATAAAAAATAATCAATATCAGTGTTTGTGAGCTTATCGAGATATCTAATTGTGCGTTGAGATCTGCTGTAGATATAATTGGTATATACCACAGACTTATATTTACCCGTTCAGTCAATGATTAGAATAATAATAATAACGTTAAATTAAGAAAAACGGAATATGAGAATGAAAAGCAACGACTCAGTCAGACAAGAACCAATTTTTTAGTATATGCTAACGGTTAAAATGTGCGCTTGTTATGCTGAAGGAACAATAAAAAAAAAAAGATATTTGTAGGGATCAACGTCTGCCGACTCGCATACATTTGTAAAAAAAGAAAATTTTCTTTTTCTAAAAATGTAAAAGGTACGTCTTTTTATCGATTTTATCTGACTGGAAAGGTAAACAAAAAGTAGAGCACCAATAAAAACCAAACACAAAAAATTCTCTTCAAAACACAGAAATAAATAAGATGGATCATTTTCCTGGGGATCAATTATCCTTGGAAAATAATTACAGTCTGCTAGAGACTTTGTGACACACAATCTAAAAGGAGTGTTGAAGTATAACGGTAAAAATTTAGACACTCCGAAAAGCTATGACAGACGCTCGGATAACACTCTCTCTCGCCTGCACGGTGTGCATTATATATCATTCAATGCAGTTTAATACGCTGATTTCGAACATACTAGTTTTTTCACAGCCGGAAAATCTAAAAAATCTAGCTTTTTTAAAAACCTGCTATGCAGCCTAGGAAAGTTAGTGCTAATAGAGATTAGAGACAGTAGATAGAAGAACATAGTAGCAAAATTTGAATGTGGATGGAATGCTCATTTTTACGGGATTTATCGTACAGACGACACTATAGAAAAAAAAGTTTTTTTGTCTCTCAGACGTTGAACATACAAATTAAAAGATATTTTTTATCATTATTGGAGTTTCAAAAAATGTACTTGATTTGTATATCGAACAGTTTTAATTTTATCAGATATGAATTTTCCTAGTGACATTACAATTTTCAGGCTAATTTTTGGGCAACTGGTTTTCCAATTTCTTTGAAAAGTTCTAATAAAGTTATTTATATCATTAGATAGACTATATTTCAGGATATATTTCTCTATATTTAAAACTTGAAAAAGTACAATTTTCATTTTTAGCCGAATGTTGTCCGCCTAGATGCATACTATGCCCCGTATCACAGACTATGGGAAGATGTTGTTGATATACGATCTAAGATTGTATATCAATAACATCTCGTTGCAATATATGAAATATTTATTTATTACATTTCTTGAGGTTTAAGCACAATGATGATGAAGAAATGTTTCTCAAACTAGATAGAATAAAACAATCTTCCTGTAGCTATATCATATTTCACATATTAACCCTACAGGGATTGCACTAACAATTTTTTCACTTGATGTATTTTGTATTGGTATAATGAGACTAAAGGTCACATATGAATTCCACATTTAGCTTCAAAAGGACTGCGCTGACAAGTGCTTTTTTTTCTATTTGTTGATTATTTATGTATGCTATAGCTCCCATATGTTCTTAAACATATTATCATTTGAGTTTACGGTCTCCTGTATCTGGTGATTTCAATAATAATTATATGATATTAATTTTGTTGTAAACAATAGAATTTTTTTTATAGGTTTACGAGAAATTAAAAGTATTCTGATGTGAGTAAAGAGACGACTCTTATCTACACCACCCTATATGCAAAGCAATAATAAGATTATAATACTAATATATTCATTCATATCTTGTTAACCCAAATAACATATTTATATAAACTGTGAAGAACAAAAAAAAAGAAGTTTAATTTCGCTTCGTTTTCTCTGTCAGAAGAAAAATATTTTAAATTTATGATGACATTTTGTGTGTTTAATTGAATCCGATTATATAGATATTACGACATACTTTTGTATTAAGTAAGATTTCAAATGGATTCAATAGTTAAACAACTTTAATGTGACATGTAAAATAAATATTAAAATAAAATATCTTAAACATTATAATAACAAAAACAAGATTTTAAAATTTAAAATAAAATTTTCTCATAAACCAAAATAAGTATAATGTATAATTACATTTAAAAAAAACAAATTCATTCATTTCATGAATGAGGTCTCAAAGCAATAAAACAGGATCATATAATCATTCTATTATCTTTGAGTTCGATTTTATGAAGAAATAGACTAAAATACTCTATAATAGAAATCATTTTCTTATCTTTATCAAGTATTTACGGATTGAATAAAGGTAAGTATGTATATATATATATATACATACATTGTCAATTACCTACCTTTAAATTATCCAATCCCTTTTTTCTATTACTGATAGTTACTAAGACGATAATATGCAGAATTGCTTGTCAACTATATACAATATTTTTTTTCACTTTTTTTCATTGACAATCATAAAAAACTCAGATTCAATAAATAGCTTGTGTTAAAAGATTTTAACAGTGACAAAATTTTACCACAACAATGTCTTCACCAATCGAACGTCCATCAAACGATAATGATGAATATAGCCGACGCAGAGAATCACCATCACAAAAACGTCAATCTGTTAATCCAAGTAATTTTGTCCTTGGACGATCACAAACACCACCAGGTCGAGTCAATAATAGTCAACAAGGTCAGCGACTTACTAATGGTGGTGTTTTAGATAATCAAACATCAGATGCTGATCATAATAGAATTTTACTAAAAAATTTAGCAGCTGATTTGAGTAATTTACTCAATCGAACAGATATCAGTGATTGTTTTCTCAATGTTAAAGGTATGAAGAATTGGTTTTTTTTTGTTATTTGCAATGTATTTATAAGAATTTTTTTCTTTTGTAAGGTACTTTTATGGCCGTTCATAAATGTATTCTTGCTGCTCGTTCAAATGCTTTTGCCGGTAAAGAATTTAGAATTTTTTTTTTTTTTTTTTTATAAAATCTAAGTTTAATTATTAAAGCTGTTATTTCGGCTAATTTTAATCGACTTCCAATGGATGAAAGAAATCGAATTCAAACAATGAGTGATACAGAGAAATTAACTATTGTTATTGATAAAACAGATCCAGAAATAATGAAAGAAGTTGTTATTTTTATGTATACGGGACAATGTGCATTAGATGAAGGCAATGGTAAGATTTCATTTTTATTTTACGTACAATAATAATCTATGAATATTTCAAAAAAAAAAAAAACAAAAGATCTTTTCATTTTAATTTTAAGCTTACGCTCTACTTGATGCTGCTGGTCGATATGATATTAAATCTTTAAAACTTCATACTGGTCGTTGTAAGTCTTTGTTTTTTAATTAATATTTTCATTCAAATAATTTTTTTTCTTGTAAATATTTATTTAGTTCTTGCAAATCGTATTGATACAAATAATGTTTTAATGTTACTCAAAGCCGCATATAGATACGATAATAAATTAATCAAACAACGTTGTATTGAATATTTTATTAATCATGCTAAAGAAGTTATGGCTATACATGAAACATGGAAACGATTTGCTGAAGAACAACAACCAATTGTTGCTGAACTTCTTCATTGGCTTGTTAACAAAGATTTATTCTATAGTGAAAAACCACAATGGGAAGCAGCTTCACGGTGGTAATTGAACAAGAACATATACAAACATAATTTTAACAAAAAAAAAAAAAAGAATAAAAGCTACGCAGGCAAAAATATTTTTACATAGAGTATCTTAATTATCTTCTTTTTTTTCTATATAAAATAAAGAGTATTAGTAAACCACCGGATATTTGCATTGTTAAATAGGTAAATGAACTTGACCATAAAAATCAATTTCATCATCAAATATACTATCTTGTTGTTCATCTCCATCGAGCTAAATAAATCAAATGTAATAAAATTAATTTAAAAATAAAAAAAAATATTACTTCATTAAGTTCTCGTTCAGTAAAAATAAATGGAAGACACCATTTACGAAATGGAACAAGTAAAACAAGAATAAATGGAAATAAAAAAGCAAAACTTGTAACTTTTATTGCTAGTAATAAACCGGCAGCCACTATTTGTATAAATGTATAAGCATAACGTTTCATTTGACGAATCTGATCAAAAAAAGAAAAAAAAACAAATTTCAGAATATTCTTTTTTTTTTTCTTCAAAAACAAGAACATACTCGTCTTAAATATCCAACATTTGGATGATATTTTGTTGGAATAAACATCATTTTAAGTCGACTAAATAATTGTGTACCAGATATTGATACAATACCAAAATATAAAAAAATACCAAATAAAGCAGCAACAGGAATTTTACGTATAATTGATGCTGCAAATATTGTACAACCAATAAGAATATGTACACCTATATTTGTTAAACGTTGATCTTTTATATCGATTAGACGAGGTTTTTCTCCTGGTGCATGAGTTTTACTATATCTTGATAAACTAGCTACATGTGCAATACTTCGTACAGGTGCTGCACATATCCATGGAAGACCAAAAAGTCCATTAATAGATATTAAAACGCCTATAATTCAAAAACAAAAAAACATTATATTTCATAGGAACAAAGAGAAAGAAAAATACCTGCTATCAAAATATCCAAATGATAACCGGTACCTTTAATAGGTTTAGTTGTATAAACACATTTAAGTTTTGTTTGTATCATAATACTATAAAATGAAGATATTTTAATTTATTAGATATTTTAATTTTTTTTTTTTTTTGTTAACCTAGTTAATTCAACTTCAAAAAAAAGAACTACAGATATAAGAATAGCAGGAAATGAAGATGCAAAATAAACCCAAAATGGTAAACGTTCACGTAATGGTGATATAAGCCAAGTATTCCCACGTTCACGATCACTTGGTCGAATTGAATTTGGTACAGTAATTTTCTATATAAACAAATAAAAATAATAAATTATCTATTTCGTACTTTTTTTTTTTAATTACTTGAGTTAAACTATGACCACCAGCATTTTTTGTTATTAGCATATCAAATAGTACCATACATATGAGAGCAATGGTCATACCAAAATCACTCAATGTTTGTCTTGTCTAAAGAAAATATTTAATTAAATGTTGTAAGATATGATTTAAAAGGAATATGGAAGTTTAGAAGTAAAAGTTTCTGAAGCCGATGGTAGTTAGGTTTAGATATTATAGGTAAGAAGAGTTTTGTTGTGCTCTTTTTTTTTGTAAACAAATTAAATGTTTTTTTCAATAAAACGAACAAAAAAATATTCTTTTAAGTATCAAAATTTTCTTCTAATCCCTGTCCGATCAGTAAAGAATTCCTAGGCCCGAATCCGATGGGTTCTACTATCACTCCACTAGAAATGTGTAGAATCAAGTTTCATGGTCTCGATCTAGAGAAAACTATTCCAGAATTTATTCATATCGTATTCAAATACTTAGGACATATCAAAAGTTCTGACTATGGCATTTAAAGGATTTTTTTTCGGATAAGGTGATCTATTGAGAAATGAAAACTCAAGTATCCGATGTTGGTAGAGCTTTTTGAGGCGCGTCGAGTAAATCTTGTTTTCATAGGACTTTGAAGGACCTAGAGTCAATTTATTGATAGATGATTACACACTCATATCCATACCCACACTGACAAGATGATCGGAGATGCTACATATAGGAGGTTGTAGCCTGTCAAAAATTCTATAAAATCATATGTAAGAAAAATACCTTCGACTAATGTCAAACACCACAATATTCAGAAACTTATCATGCTTGGGTGTGGATTAGTAATCAGCGGAGTCGCATTTTTTCATTCCGAAAGCCGACTCCGACTCTTAAAAAAAATTTCTTGCGACTTCGATTTCTATTCCGACTTCGAAAAAAATTTTCTTTCGACTCCGAAAAAACTCCGAAACTGTGTTTTGTAGTTTATCCACATAAAATTCATACCAAGATTCGATATTCTGAAAGAAGAAAAACAATTGGCGACTTAATAATAAATAAAATACAGTTTATTTTGTCATAAGACATATTTCGTCATGTTTTTTTTTCAGAAACAAAAAAAGAGAAATTATAAGTAACAAATTTTAACACATAATTGATGATTATCGGAGTCGGAGCCGAAATCGGGTTTCGGAGTCCTATACAGTTCACTAGTGTGGATATGTAGTCATCTATCAATAAATTGACTCTAGTTTCTTCAAAGCCTTATCAAAACAGAATTTACTCGGTGCGCCTTAAAAAACTCTGCAATATGATATATCTGGTTTTTCATTTTTCAATAGGTTCTCTTATTCGAAAAGATCCTTTAAACGCCATGGATAGAACTTTTGGTATGTCCTAATTAAATTCTTCAATATTCGTAGTCCTAGTTCCGATCTTGCCAATTTTTTTTTCTCGTGATTCCAGTCTCGGTCACTGAAACTAAAATTGATCTTTGCAGGTCGTATCAGATTTTATTGATATTTGATCACAGATCGTATGTTAATAACGTCTTATTATAATATATGCTCTATTTGACTATTGCATTCCAAGGAGAATTAAATAAAAGAATGGTAAAGAAAAATGTCCTAAAAATAGTTACACATTTCAATCCGACAGAGATTGCGTCAATAACTTTTATTTATTAACCAATAATTAGTTTCAATCTCTTAATAACTTATCGATCGTTTTGAAAGATTATACAAAAAACAAAAAGTTTTGAATATATTCAGGTCGGAATAAGCTGACATAGACAATTGACCTTGTTTTTATTATTAGAATTTGAACAAGCAATTCGTCTGCTCATTGATCTTTGTTTTGTTTTTGCAATTTATATACCGGATATTTAATATGAAGTTGTTCCATTTAAAGGATACGAGTACTATGAACTTTACGTCATTTTCAATAAACTCAATTGATATACAATTATGCATAATTGACAATCTTCAGAAATGATATTTACACTATTTTGGTTTAAGATTTTAGTAAATTACAAAAATTAGATAAGTAAATAATTCGAATAGATTTCTTTTTCTTTTTTTTTTGATTAATTGTAAATGAAAAATTAATATTTAAATAGAATTAACTTACTGTTCGACCGAAAAAATTACTTCGTCTAAAACGTTTAAGTGCAAGAGACATAAAACACGTTCCAAGTAGAATAATTAATGAAAGTAATGCTTTATTTGGTAATTGAGTTCCATCATTTGGTATTGTTATAGAATTATTTTGTAATAATGACGAAGTAGATGATGTACAATTATAACATGAATATTTAAATGAAGAATTATTTAATAATAAATTCATATTTTTCATAGTAATTGATCTATTTAATATAGAAGATATATTACAAGAACAATTTAATGGATAATTATAATTATATTTTGATAATACTGGATTTAATTGAAATATCTTTTTTAACAAAATTAAAAAAAATTATAATGTAAAAAAGAAAAATTATTCAATATTTTACCGTATAAAGTTTTTTAAATGGTTCATATAAATAAACAATAGCAATAATAAGAGCAAAAATTTCTTCAGTAAATCGAGTTACATAACGAATCATAAAACTACCTTCAAATGCTACTAGAATAATTATAAAAAAAGTTGTCCATAAACTAACACATAATCGAACTATCCAAAAATTTGTTTGTAATAATCGACATAACTAAATACACAAAAAAGAAAACATACATTAATAAATATA